TAAAATGAATTATATATCATATTGATAATGAATACTTTTAATAAAATTTGTATCAAAAAGCTGTTTTTATTTTGACCAAAGCGTACTATTAGTACACTCATCAAAATGATATTTCTTTATAAACACTTGCTAATTATATTTTCGAGTATGATCTTCAAACAGTAAACATTTTTTCCTGGTAATTTCTTTGTAGTGTTTTTTAAGCTTCTATTGATAATATAATATAATATTTTTTGATAAAAATAAATATTGATACAGTAATTTTAACTTAAATAAATGCATAACTTTGGGTTTCAATTGTAAAATCTATTTGTAGATATGTACTGATAAGGTTTATTCTACAAAGTTTTTTTTTTTTGCTATTGATTTAAAAACTCGCCAAGTTTAACTATGTTTGCAATTTTACTTATTTGATCTAATCTTTGTTGGTAATAAAATTTATATTCCTATTGGACTTGTGAAATGTAAAAAGAAAAATTATATCTTATCAACTTTGACATATATGTTCAGGTCGGTGATAAAATATATCATTTTAACATTTAATAGTAAATAATTTCTTGATTTCACTTACAGTCACTAGATAAGTTGGTTTCTTCGTCCACAAACGTATTGGAGCCGACCACCGGACCTAATAGTAAATAATTTCTTGATTTCACTTACAGTCACTAGATAAATTGGTTTCTTCGTCCACAAACGTATTGGAGCCGACCACCGGACCGAGATTTTGACGAGCCAAAAGAAGAGCCGCGAACATTGTAATAATCCATCGTTTCATCGTTAAGAACACACACTAAATCGAAAAAAATAATGAAAATTTGCTATTTTTATAATTAAAAATCCTAACCGTCGGTATGATAATAATTTTCAATAGCCACTATCGTTTAAGCATACGGTTTGCGCGCGCACATTGCACACCGCCGGAATGACGCGGCTGGAAAGGCACGACCGACACCATGCCGAACTGGTACGANTCCATCGTTTCATCGTTAAGGACACACACTAAATCGAAATAATTATGAAAATTTGCTATTTTTATAATTAAAAATCCTAACCGTCGGTATGATAATAATTTTCAATAGCCACTATCGTTTAAGCGTACGGTTTGCGCGCGCACATTGCACACCGCCGGAATGACGCGGCTGGAAAGGCACGACCGACACCATGCCGAACTGGTACGATACTACTGTGTATGGGCCAGACCGTTAGCTACTACCCCGCCGCTGGTCCACACGTTGTCCGGTTACTTCCTCGGCCACTGTGTTTTACTCTTTACTATAACTCCTCACCCTTTGCTAGGTAATCTTAGCTGTGAACTATTTAACATAATCACAAGATATTCAACTAGTTAAACAAATAAAACGGCTTATTCTCCAATGAGGAAGAAATAATATGGTTCCCAACGTTTGAACCACGACAGAGTTACAACTATTCTCATACTTGAAATCAATGTGATGCCCATAATTCAGTCGAGCGCTAATGGATTTATGCCTTAAATCATAATTTCTCATCTAAATATAATACTAAAAGAATAATTATTAATAATAAAAAAAAATGTCTTCAAGCCCAATGGAACATTTGTTACATCGTTGTACAAAAAACTTAACTCTTCATAAGTAAAATAGCATTAATTATACTGTCTAATACCATGAAAAATAATGTGTTGCTACCAAGTCTTATTTTTATTATCTACGAATACATTATAATTTCATAAAATTCATCTGTTACATTTTTTGACACATTTTTTCCAGAGATGTTGTTACTTATCAAGGTTTGATGAAAAAAACTGCCGCATATTTGAATTGTTGGATCATATAAACATGAACAATGAATTCATTATCTAAAATTTAATGATCGTACAACAACTATTCTAGGTTTATTTTATTTTTTTCTTTAATAATTGTCAGTATATTATATAAAACAATGTAAATGTATATGTAAATATGGAGTGAATATAGAGACGATTTGAATTTTGTCTAGGAAGGACAGCCCATATTATTTACTATAATATTAAACGGTTTTTTAACGATTTATAAATATTAATATAATTATAATAGTAATGCAGTTAATCAATATGTTACTTGCGCAACTATTACATATAAACAACAATTGTATACAGTGGCGTATTTAGACATTTATAATGGAGGGGCACAAAAAATTTTCATGAATAAGGTACCATAAAACGACTTTTTTTTTTTACTTATAACTTTTGTTAATACATATTAAATACATATTTTAGATTTTGTTGAAAAAAAATCTGTGCGGGCGTCAAATTTTGCTCCACAAGACAACTATATCGACTAATATTTCATAAACCCATTATCGATAACCAAAAAATAACTTTTTCTAATGATATTATACATTGATTGATAAAATATTTATATGACTCAGTCAATGGGGTGGTAGGGGCACGTGTGCCCACTGATTGCATACACAAATACTAAATAACATACACGGATGTATTTAGCGCTGCTTATGATAATACTGTTTTAAAAATACTTATACGCGATATTTTAGTAATTTATTTTTCTTTTGGCGTTAATTATTTTTTAGTTCTAAATTATAAATAATATTAGCCACAAGTGATCAATTATTATTATATAAAAATCATAACTTTATTATTTATATCAATATCAATATTAAAATCACTCATTAATTTATAATTATTTTATAACAAATGTGATTATTATATTATCAATAAGTATAACTATATTATTTGTTATAATAATGCTAAATAAATATTATAAAATATTATTAAAAACAGAAAAAAATTATATCGATAACATTTTTTTTTAACCAGATATAGTTTATGCATAAAACTAGACAAACTATAAAAACTAAAAAGTATTCCGTTTACAAAATGCGTAATGTTTTCTTTAGATTCGTTATGTTAAGTATTAAGTAAATTTGCAACAAAAATAATTCGATTGAAAAACATGTTTACTAAAGATCATCAAAGTTCTATGTAATTTTTACGTTCAATTAAAACTTAAAGTTATTATTTTAAAAACTGCCATAACGCAGTAGCGAGCACAGATAAATTTTTACAGTCATACTGAAAATTATATGCCTATTTACAAACTTTTCAGAAATCCTCTTGTTTAAATCTTAACTCGGTTATGATTGTGATAAAAACTTTGTATGTTGCCCATCCTCATCATGGGTCTTATACTAAATTTTACTAACTTCTCAGATTTTCTCAGCGTATTTCGATTATTTAAAGAGCCAAGATTTTAAACAAAATTTAACATAACGAATCTGCAGTCGATAGAAAAGTTGTACACTATAATTAATGTAGCCTAAAAAATGTTTACAAAATTCAAACAATATGACAATGTAATTAAATATTTTCTTGTGCGTCATATTTTAATTGATAAAATTTAATTTTTTTTTAAGTAAAATATACTGTAATATTTATATGGAAGTATTAATCACATACAATAAAACCCTTAAACAAAAATGTACAATTCATAACGAAATACCAGATTTACTATATATTTAACATGTAATCAACCAACAAAATAAACTAAAAATAAATGTTATTGTCATTTGTATTAGTTTCTTTATAATTTAATATAATATGATTTAAACGTTTTTTATATCTACCATAATAATTTGTATCAAATTACTATTACGAGATTATTATAATATTATACATAATTATATTAGATGGTAAATTGTTTTAATTCAATAATAAATTTAAAGTAAAGCAGAATGAGAATTAAACAAAGTAGAGTTGAGCCACTTTTTAAATTAATATTTATTGATATTTCACAGAGATTAAAAACACTGTCTTAAAACGCTTCGGTGAGTTTTTGAAACAAATAAAAACATTTTTACAAATGTATAAAACATTACATGATTCTGCTTTAGACTCCAATTTCTCATTAAAGACAGTAGTATTTATTTTTTTAGTCATATAGTACATTTAATAGCAAAAAATTTATTTAGTTTTAAACAATGTAGGTGTTCTATTGCTATGTACAACACTTTAAAATCTATTTAATATAAAATGTATACATACTGCATGAAGTAGAACTTTTTATAATTTTATAATATCTTACCAAATGGAAAGAGGTTTTTGTGAAAAAATATTTTTAATGTTTCCAGACTTTTACCTAGCTATAAAACCTTGACAGTTTCACTTAAATTTCTAATAGAGTTTAAAATACAAGTTATTTTTTGTGTTTTCCATAAACATATTTTGCTCTCTCAGAGCAAATTTTTATGGTCAATATGATAAAAGAACCCAATTTTCATATAAATGAACCTATTAACGCCAAAAGTAAAATAAAAAAACTAAATTTTCAACATATAGAAAAGATATATATATCTCAAAATTAAGCAGAGGTCAAAAATAATAGGAAAAATTAGAATTTTTTTCTACATTTCAAAATTGCGATAACTTCTAATAAAAAAGCCCGATATTATTAAATTTTAATTAAAACATACGAGAGATAAATTATAAAATAATATTTATGAAAACCAATAGAAAATTCAAGTAAAGGAAGGATTTGAACGAAACCTCTTGCGCATGTCGAATATTTTTTATTATCAATATATGAAAACGTTCTAGAACGTCTGAATTAATTGAACACATATTTAAAGCTTATAATGTGAACTATAATATTAATGCAGGTTTTTTTTTTAATTTGAATTTTTAAAGGTGTTTCGGAATATTTGCATTCTTTAGACCTATACTAAATTAAAGCTTTTTGAATTTAATTAATGTTCAGAAACATTTTTTTTAGCTACAATATTTCTTTTAGGAGAAATTAAATGTCAAAGCATAAAAAAAAATGCAATTTCACATTGAAGTTGTAAAATTACATACATACTAATTATTATGAAATTTAACAGATACAAATTGAAACGTTTTATGATAGTTAATAACAATGAGATATCATCGATACTTGTCACCACTGTGTTGGGTTTTTAATATTAAAATACAAATTTAAGATATTTTAAATTTATGAATATAGTATCTAAAAGCTGTTTTGATAGTGTACCCATTATTATAATTAATAATCGTTTATATGTTAAAATGACGTAGAAATAATGTTACCTATTTCGTACACTTGCTTAAATGAATATTCATTTGAATGTTCACTTGAATCTGTTTTATTTGCATAATGCTATGAATTTAAAATTTTTTTATATATTTTTAAATTTCACAGCACGCTATAAGTATTATTAAGAGAAATATATAGTAATAGTAATTTTTTTTTTTATAGTTCGTCTATTTGTTAAGGTTTTATTGTTGCAAAATGATTCGATTATCTTTTATATCAATAATTTGTATTTGTGCTTTTAATTATTTCACAATAACGGCTGGAAGTATTTATGAATTTAACACTTTAGTGCAAAATCCAGCGTGGAAGTCATTAACAAAGCATCAATTAATCAATAAATTGACCTTTTTTGATAATGATTTGAATAAAGAACTTCAAATATTTACCTTGGACACATTATTTCCAAATGGTTTGCACGCTGATATTGTTACAGAACAGAATTTCTTTGATAAAGTATGGCAATTTCATTTACTATTAAGTATTTATTACGCTATGGAATTACTACCTATTTCTAAAATAATGTTGGATTTTTGGAGTTTTTGTCAAGACTCCAATAACTGGGTATGGAAGCCATTTTGTCAAAAGAGTTTTGTTGAAAAATACCTAGAATTGTATGTAGAAATTAAAAAGATGCATGGATCATTATTATATTTTTCTAACATAATTTATTTAAGTACAGGTATTAATACAAAACTCACTAATAAAGTTCATGACGCCTTAAAAATTTATGAAGAAATAAAAGAAAATAACGATCTTAAACAAGACGATATAATTAAAAAACTTAAACTGGCAAACAGAGAAATAGAACGTTTTTTTGAAATACATGTTTATCCACCTCATCTAGAAGCCTTCGTTGAAGGACACATAATGCTAAAAAGTTTTAATGATGAAAATATTAAAAGACATAACACTCTCCAAGAAAATTCTTCGACATTTGAAGAAAAATTAAGTGCAAGTATATCTTCCCTTGCACAAAGTAACAGTAAATATGGTTTTATATATGACTCAAAAACTCTAGCTGTCAGTGTAAGTTTACCGGTAACAGATATTTTGATGAAGTCACTTGGAGGTTTATCAATCTGATAAGAGATCTTATTAAAAACAAAAAAAAAAAATAATAATAATAGTTTTGATAACGTCATGTGCATTATTAATATTATTATTGATAAATAGTAATAATAAAGTATCAAAATATATAAATATATATTTTAGTTGATTATTTTTTAAATTATATTCTTTATATTTCCTTTTCAAATTTTTAAAAATGTACAATAGAAAACATACGAGAATATTATACAAAGAAATATAAATTTTGTTTAATATAATTTAGTTCTATAAAAATATGTATTACTGCCTTTATTAAATCAATCTCGCATTTTATGACACCTTATTAAAGTACCCTCGTAAAAACCAAGAAGTAAATTTGCTTCATTTTAGGTTACTATTGTTCTTTGAACGCCTGTCAGTGAGTGAATGAATAAAAATAAATACTTAATATATTATTTATTACATTATTTTTTCTATTAGTGGTAAAATCGTTCAATATCATAAACTTTAGGGTTGTTAATCACGCATTAGATGTTCGAAAGCGTTAAGTAAAAAGAGGAAACAACACTTTTAAATTTAAAAGGAGCAAATCCTTTATATAGGGTGTTCAGTAAGTATGAAAACAGGTTTCTATTGTTTTAATTGTTGTAACAACTGACCTATTTCATTACTTACTAAACACCTGTTTACATTTCTAACTTCTAAACTTCGTTTATGAAATAATATTATTTGAAATTTTATAGCAAAAAAACAGTCAATTAATAATGTAATAAAAATTAAGACATTTTTTGTTTAGTTCAAAATAAAATTGAACAAATAATATAATTGAACTATTGACGTCACCAGAGTTTGTAGTAAAAAAGTTTATTGATACAAATTTTTTGACAAAAGTAAATCTTACAAACAATTTTAGAAGAATGTGACGTATAAACGTTCTTAATTATGTATATTTTAATAACTCCTTTGAAAAAGTATTGTATTGTATAGATTTTTTTTTTTTTTAAAGAACATTGGATCAATATTAAACAGCCAATTAGTCTTAATTTGGTAGTATAATAATTGTTCATATTAAATAATCTGAATAAATAAAATATCTATTTATGTTTATGACCAACGATTTATAAATGTTAAACAATCATCAATGTTTTTCAAGATTTTGATATTGTTTTAGAAAATTGAATATTAGTTTAACAATATTCATATAGTACATTAAATTGAAGGTAATTAAATATAATTTTAAAAGTAATATATATTTTATGACTTGTAAAAAATTGGATAAGTTTTTTTTCAAATTTTAGTGTGTAGTTAAGGTTATTCCAATTTTCCATTTGATGTAGCTTATTAATAAAATATTTTATTATTCGTTTATCAAATTTTTTGTTATAAGTTTATTGAAAAAAAGTCAGTTGTGCAAAACTGTTTGGTTTGTTAATGAAATTATCGTTCTATAAAATTATGCTTCTTTATTTAAATATAAATAAAAATAGTTTCAATTTGATTTAGTTTAAAAAATAATATTTCATTTGTTTAGTTTTTGTATGCTATACAGGGTAATTTTATTATAAAAAAACCATTTAAAAATATAAAAAATACTGGGTATTTTTTTTTTTGTTTGTATTTCTTTTCTTAATTATTACAAAGTTGTCAATTTTTATTATGTTTATCAATTTATCCTTATTTTAATTATTAAATTAATTAATTACTATTTTATTTATTCTAATTTATTTTTAACTATCTGTATACTTTATCTTTTAAGTGGAAATATACACTATAAAATAGCTTATTTATTAGATAATAATTTAATTTAGAAAAACGACTGGTGCAAACCGAATTTTGTACCAGTATTTCAGAAATTATTAACGTTTAATAGTAATGGCTGAAGATGAGCCGTTAGCGTTGGGTTGGGTTTCTCAACCGGCATGTAAAAACATGTTAACATCTTTCAAAATACTGGTCCAAAAGTTTTTTTCAAACAGTAATTTTATAATCTAGCTAAATATTATAATTTTGAATTAATTGTAGTAAGAAATTATAGTATCTTGTTCAGTAGGACTTTAATATATAGGTAATAAATATTACATAGTCATTACAGTTTTAGGACAAAAGTAATCCCTTCCAGAATTTTGTTTTACATTCTTTTAAAAATTTTTGGCATACAAAATAAAAAAAATGTTGTAATTTTACAAAAAAATTTTACTTTATTTTCAATTAAGCAAATAATTTAACAAAAAATTATATTTTAGTAAAATTTTGAAATCAAGAGTAGAGTTAAAAATATACAAATTAATTGAAATTTAAAAAATTTGCACCGAAGCCTTTTATGAAATTATGGTTAATCATTGTCAGACATCCTCTAAATTTTTTCGAACTATTATTATTAATTCAAAAAGATTTAAAGAAAAAACAAATTTATTTATTATAAAAATGTCATTTTTTAAAAGAAGCCATTAAAAAATTATATTTTTTCTATGAAAAATTGTGGCATATGTGCTGTTGAAAAATAAAAATAGTAATTTATATATATTTTACGTTCTTATTTAGATTTGAATATTAAAATGAAACATTTTATAGTTTTGGTGATCTGTTTTATGGTAAATATTTATTCTTATCAGTGTAAAAGATTTATACGTAATTGATGTATTCTATTGTTTAATCAATATTTTAAGGTTTTTGTTAAAGAATCATTTCTATTTGTCGGCTTAAGCTAGCAAAATATATAATTTTCATGAGTCACAAAATAAGTAGAACGGGCGATTTCTCGCTCTGCCGCCCTCAAATGACATTCCTACCTGCAATATCGTTTATTTTGAGAAAATAATAATTATTAGATTTTTCCTTTTATTTACACTATAATACTTATCTTCGTGCCAAATTTCATTTTTACACATATACAGGAAATTAATTATAATTTTGATGATGTATTAATCAGACAGTCAGTAAGAAAAAATAAAACTTTGAAATTCTCTCAATTTTAAATGGCTAAATAATGTAATAACATTTTTGTTATCAATTACATGTTAATAAAATAAAATATCATATTATTATTCTTATAGCGGACACATGTAAAAATATTATATATTTTTATAGTATATAAAATAGTGTGTATCAATAGTGTATCAATAATCAATAGTGTCTAATGTATGTTTTAAATTTCAAATTTGAAAAAAAATACATACAGGAGTTTAAAAATCCGGTTAAATTGTTTCGTTTAAAGATATACTAGTATTGTTAGAACCCATCACAACTTAACTCTATTTTATATCTTAAGCTTAAAAAAAACTGGCCGATAATCTGCCTGATACATTCCCTCAATTTTACGAATTCATTAATTAAAAAGAATTTGTATTTTATAGCTCGAATTTGAGCAAAGTCAAGGAGACTATTCAAGAGCAATAAAAGAACTGAAGATTTGTATTAAAAAAGATGAAACAGAATTGACACCTTTTTTTTTTTTTTTTTTTTTTTTTTTTTT